TGTGCACAGAAGTAGGGTGCCTCCCCACCCCAGGCCTGCAGCAGGCAGCCTCCCACCACAGGCTCCACTCTGGCTGTGCTGCTCACCGTGGGAGGAGCAGGGCTCCGCACTTCCCTATGCTGCAGCCCCTGCTGCCTCCAGTGGTGTGGGCGTTGGGTGCCAGGGCTCGGGCACTGCTGCAAGGGGGCTGCAAACCCAGGTCCCTGGCCCCATAGCCCTGGCACCTGGGAGCCCCCTCTGGCACAGCTGGGGGGGGCAGGGGGCTGTTGGTGGGGGGTGAGGGGCACCAGCAGGGCTGGGGGGCTGTAGCTCAGGAGTGAGGGGCCTGGACCTGCCTTCTGTGAGCTAAGGGGGCAGGGGGAGTGCTGATTTTCCATGATAAAAACCCCCAAATCAAATACCAAAATGTATTTCAATGTACCAAAATGTATTTAATTTAATCACGGATTTGGGGGGTTTTATCAGAGAATTTGCTACTTTTACCAGGAAAAAAACCAGGATCCCTGCTGATAAGCTGCAAACTTTTTATTGACTACCAAACAATTCTTTTTTTTATTATTATTATTTACTATGGTTGGTGTTCAACCTTTAAATTTAACACCTGGACCTTTGTTCAGGTGATGTAAAAAAAGTCAGTAAAAACATACGGCAAAGAAAAAAATAATTGTCAGTAAAAAGTTTGCAGATTGTAAGTGGAAAAAAATGTTTTGGATTGGACAATCCTGCAACTGAAGCATATGGGAGGTTAAGTGACTTGGCCAAGGTTACAAAGGGAGCCCAAAGCAATTTAAACTAATCCAAATGAAGGGTAGCTTTTCTTTTGAAAAGTTTTTCACAAAGGAGTTTAATGGGTTTAACGAGCTCACTTTAAAAGCAGATACATTTTCTTAAGTGCTCCCAAGTAGTCAAGCCCTTGCACCGTAAATGACTTCCAAGGCAACACAGCAAACTGGAAAAAGGCACTCCTGTATTGGAATAAGAGCATCCAAACGAGGAGTTATACCAACCCATCTGTTTGAATGCATGCCTTACCTTATGCCAATGTGCACTGCCCACACTGAGAGACCTAGAGCGGGAAAGAAATATGGACAGAGATTAAGAAACTCAGCCAAGGTCACTAAAAGTCAGTGGCAGAGGCTGCAGGAAAATGCAGGTTTCTCATTTCCCATCCCCAGGCATTAGACCACACGATACATTTTAGTTGCATGTTCAAGCATGCTGAGAAAACTAAGTTGTCGATTTGACTATAAAAGTTGATCTGTACTAGCAAGACATTTGCAAGAGTGAACAAATGTGGTGGCTACAAGAGAGAGGAGTCTCTGGGTGGACTGCCTTGCAGATGCCTATAAATGAATCTGCTTCTCTAGGAAGCAGCAGAGACATCTTACTACTTAGTTCATCAGTTTGATACATCCTGAAACTCAGCTGGATAATCTTGGGCTTGAAATGGGTTGACTTTTCATTCTTTCAAAATACATAGTTTTGGGGAAAGTTACACAGAGGCAGAGGCTTGGTTTTTCTTGTAGAGTAGCGACCACAGACATCAAGGGGACACAGCTTAGATGTTCTGTGCCCAGAAAGAGATTTGGCAAAAGACGCAAGTAGATTAATGATGCAATTTAAATGCACGGCTGATCCTACTTCCCATAAGAGGTTGAGTTGTGGGGTAGATGTTGTGATAACACATAATCAGGTGTTGTGAGAGCTTCTATCTCTTTCCTCTCTCAGCTTGAGATTGCCACAATGAAAAGTTTTCATAGAAAAATACAGGAGAGGGCATCGTGCCCAGGACTCAGACAAGGGATCCATGCAGTATATCCACACAGCATTAAAAATCTCTTGGCTTTGGTTCTGGAGAAATCACTTATTTAACCCCTAAGGAATTTGGGACATGGTGGGATGGAGAAATATTGGCCCCTATGGGGAATGACTCATTATTAACTATTGCAAGGCGCTTTCTGACCGACTGAGAAGTCTAGAAGTCTTCAGAGCATAAATAATCTAACAGAGAAAGACTGCATCTGAAAAGGCTTAATGATGCTGCTCACACCAAACAGAAAATGTTCCTTACTTAGCCCTACATGTTTGTCTGCTGGAAACTTCTACTATTCACTAATATTTCAGTACTAGGTTGGCGTGGGGAACGTGACTTCTTGGTAAGTGGGAAGGATGGGCTTGGACTGTTCATTTGTTTTTGAGACTAAACATCTCAAATTAGTGTAACAGGCTTCTGGCTGGTAAGAAAGGACTCGTTGTTCCTCTAGCTGCTAAATTTCACCAAATTTCATCTAAAATACATGACATCCCTATGTTACATTTCCAAGGCAGCAATCACTGTTATTACAACACTGACACTGCTTGGGAACCAGAGAGAGCACAAGAATCCTTCTTAAAACGTTGTCCCCATCTGGTGCATAATATCATGGGAAGAGGTCCCATAGGGAAAAATCCCCAGCGCCCAGGAGGGGGAGCTCCAAACCTGCTCTCTCCGAGTTAGGATGATGATGATGAGATAGATGGAAGACAGCACTAGAAAGCAATTCATTTATTCCTGTAGCAATCTGATGCATCTTACCCCTAATTCTAATGAAAAAAAACACATTTGACTTTTTCTTTTTTTTGTTAAGTACAAAAATCAAGTCCTTGCGCGTTTGTGACATTTTTGGCTATTAAAAAGCAAAATTTTCACCTACCCCAGGTAACCAGTTTTACCCGTCTCAGTTTCGCAATGGGATTTGGCAAGCACCTATATGTGTATAATTATCTAGGCCAGGGGTAAGCAACGTTTTTGGCTGGCGTGGCGAAAAAACCATAATGTCTACCTTGTAAGGCGCCGGAGTGCCGGCACACCAGAAAAACAAGACCAGGGTGGGAGGTACATGGCAGGACGCACGCATATTAATATAGTTAATAATTTATTTTATTTTTTTTACAGTAAATACCAGGTTTTCTAAAAATTCTAAACCTGGTGACAATAAATAAAATTTCATATACTACCTATGTTGTTCTGTATTCTTTTGTTGTTAAGCATGTTGTGATGAGAGAGAAGAGACAGAAGAGAAAAAGAAAGATGAGAGAAAAAAAGAAACAGAAAAAAGGAGAGAACCAGACACGTGTGCACATGCAGAGAACGAGACCCACATGTGCACACGCAGAACAGACACCCCCCTAGAACCAGACACGTGTGCACACATGCACACACGCAGAGAACCAGATACACAGATGCGCACACACGTGTGCACGCACACACACACACACAGCCACAGACGCGCACACAGCCCACTGAGGCCCCAGCCTGGAGCCCACCCATCATCCAGCTGCAAGGTTGGCACTAGAGAGGGCTTGGGGGGGAGGGGGGCTATAGCCACCACAAAGTTCACTTTAGCCGCCCCCCTCCCCTGTAGCCACCTCTCCCAGCACTGCCGCCGCCCACTCGCCCTGTGCAGCTGAGCCCGCAGAGGTGTGGCGCTCCTACAGGGTGGTGCCAGCCTCTTCCCTGTGAGGGGCTAGGATGGGCTTAGGAGCACAGGAGTGGGGTAGGCAGGTGGCAGCAGCATTGGGAGGGGTGGAGCCTCCTGAACCAGCTGAACCCAGCCCCCCCCCGCAGGAAGAACTTGATGTTGTCCCTGCTCCAGACCCTTGGCATCACATCCGAATTGCCAGCGGCTGCATGCACGCCTGAGGCGCATGTGCAGTCGCCACCAACACGGAGCTGATGCTGGGGCTCCGAAGCCCAGCACAGCTGTTTGCAGCCTCCCAGCTGCAGCTGGCCCAGGCTCTGCGTAGCTGCTGCCTGCCTTGAAGCCTGGGCTGCTTACAGCAGGGCTTGCAGTCTCCCAGCTGCCTGCTGGGAGCAGCCTGGGGTTCTGTGGCTGGTGGCAGCTGCCCAGAGCCTGGGCCAGCGGTGGCAATGCCAAGCAAAATGGCCTCGCATGCCATGCTCTGGCACGCATGCCGGGGGTTGCTGATCCCTGATCTAGGCTAATGATGATGCTTATTAAAAAAGTAACTGGAAAAATACCGCTTTACTGCAACAAATTACTCCTTCATTTCTCTTGGGTAGCAAATTAAGGCGATCCAAAGCCTCTGCCAAAAAGCCTTCAGAAACTGCTATTCTTCACTCGCACAGTCCCATCCATTGGCAAAGACAGTATTCTGCGTTATAAGGTTTAGTGCATCAATACAGTGAATGTTTGATACATTATGTATAAACGTATTTGCAGCCCAGCAGGTCACACTATGCTCAGCTTTCTGCAGCACTCACACGTCTCAGAAAATCTGAGTCAATACTTTCTTAATTTAAAACATTTTCCCCATCTTCTCACCAATTTACAAAAAAGGCTAAATACAGCAGTAGCATATTTTAAATAGAAAAGTACAGATTTTCCTAAAGAAAATAGACCTAATTACAATCAAGCTGCTGCAGTAAAGAATTGCTTTCGACATTCAGCTGATCAGTTCAAACTCCAGGCTTTCAAAATAGGAAAACCTGAATAAACATACTATAGTGAAAGTTATTTTTGGAAGATGAAGATTTCTTTAGTTATGAAAATATTAACTCTGCGTGTCTGAAGAAATAGTTCAGGAAAACTGGTGTGGTTTCAATTAGGACCATCTTTTGAATTGCAATGATGTGACGTGAAGTCATGTTTATAGGTGTTCGTCCGCTACGTGTACAGAGGGCAGGATTTGGCCCAGTTAGTTAAACACTGATCTAAAAGTCTGCAAGACCATTTACAAGTGAAAAAATGTCTTTAGAGAGGAATCCAAAGCGCTCAATTATGAACCAATACAGAACTTCCCTACAGACGGTGGGCATTCAGGTCTGAGGACTGGGTCTAACGAAGTCAGTAGAAAACCTCCAGCTGATTTAAATGGGTTATTGATTAGGACCTTGGTTTCCCAAGTCAAATTCCCAAGAACCTAGAAAGGGGAAAAGGATTTAAGACAACAAAATCAAGTTAGAAACTTTGGAGAAAATGACCCCCAAACAAGTCGAAGCAGGTTGAATTTACATTTTACTTCAAAAAAGGGAAGTACATACATGAGGGGGGAATGGGGCGAACAACAATTATCTGAAACCATGTTTTCTACAGTTTTTTTACCTACAGTTACCAACTGCGTGTGGGAGTCGGCAGGGCTTTTTGTTGGTTTGTTGGTTTTTTTTTTTTTTTACCGGCTGCCACACACTTTGCTTACAATATTAACAGGATTGTAGATCAAGGAAACATTTTCAAAGTTGAGGCCCAAATGGAAAGAATAAGGTATCATACACAGTGTAAGTTTATAGTACACAGCATTTTTTTTTCTTTAAATGACATAACGCAACAGCAGGAAGGAGAAGTAGTAGTTAACAATTACTAACACTAGAATAATCAAATTTGTATGTTATACATATACAGCAACTAACTGCTTTACAAAAAAGCAAAATAATACAATATATTGTCACATGTATTTACAGTGTAGTAAATATACTTTTCTGTCAAATTTTACACAAAAACTATTTACAGGTGAATATACTGCATTAAAAAAAACTGTGTGGCCAACACTAAAAGTGACTTTCTGTGGCAAGTCTGTTGCATAACATTAAGACGTGCTTTATTACATTTGAGGAAAAAAAAATGACCTTCGAATGAAACAGAAAAAGGACCTAAAACCTACAAACCAATTAGGAATAGAGCACTGGCACTTTCCCAAATGCTCAGTTCACAATGCTTATTTGAAATGCTTCCTGTTTGTGGAAAATAAGTCTCATGCACATTAAAGCAGAAACACTGGCATAATTAACAGGTAGTTTATGTACTATTATAATACTACTGAGTTAACTTTAAGTCGGGGAGAATACAGACGAGCAAATGTTAATTCTTTTTACAGTACGTCATGTGGACAATGCAGAATGGATAACACGTTCTAGAACAGGGGTGTCAAACCTTCAGTCTCCAAGATGCATTTATGTGGTCTGCATGTCACCCTGGTTCTCCAGACCCTAAGCATTTGTGGAAAAAGTAGTAGTAAGTAGGTGCCACGGATGCAGAGGCAACGCAGGCAGGGAGCAGCTGCTGGCTGATCCTCTCTCCTTTCCTCCCCACCACTGCTTACAGGCGGGGTAGAAGCTGCCCCCTTGCACCTTCTCCAGACTGGTGCAACCCCCAGTCTCTGGAAGGCACGGGAGCCTTGCCCCACAGCTCCGCTTCTCCTGGTCCCCAGGAGGAGTTGTTACAGGAAAGTGTGAAGACATTCATTCTCCCAGGAGAAGCTCTCCAGCAAGTGTTTTCTACCTGTTTGTAGTCAAGTTTTCTCCTGGAACTGCCATTTTTGCTCCAGGAGAACAAGCTGGAACATCTGTACACTTGTGGTTTCTACTGGGTAAGTGGCAGATCTCCCAGTAGAAACTGAATGTCTGCACACGGGCTAAAAGAGTGCATACAGTGTAACGGGTGCAGTGATGGCTGCCTAAAACAATGATTTGGAGAGCTGAATTCCCATGCTCTAGGCAGGCGTATTAAATTTCCAGTCCAATGATGATGCTTCAGGGGCCGTCTTAACTAATTACTGATTGCTTTAGAAGACAGAATAGGAATCCTGGAAGGGAACAAAACAGACTGGGTTGGGAATTTGGGGTGGCTTCAGGGAATGAAATCCAAAGCAAAGGACAGAGGAAACTAAAAAGTGTGGGGGCGGGGGTGAGACAAGAAGGACAGAGAAAAGGATTTAGGAGGAAGAGAAAGAAAAGGGCAAAAAGATCAGTGGGTGCAATGGGTAAGCAAGCAGGTTTTCCCAGTGATAAATGCAACAGTAAGGCACTGAACAAATAACTACTAATGGATATTTACTCACTACATGAAGGCCATATTTGTGCCCTAATCTTTACACCAGTGTCCGAAGAAGTGTTGTGTTCCACTGTGCAATGTCAGGAGTATGGTCCTGCATTTATACCCTGGCCCACAGACCAGAATTAAACATGGAATTCAGTGTTCTCAGCCAAATGAGTTTGACACCCATGCTCTGAAATGTCCAGATCTAAGCCCAATAGTGGAAAGGTTACATGGCAGGTTTCCTTCCCTCACACCCAAGGGTATACTAAATGAGTTACTATGTTATCATGCTGATGTGAAATCATTTTTTGGCTAACTGGGATCAAGAGATCGCAGTAACTCTTAAAATTAAAAAATAAAATTTGTTCACTTTGATTCCACAGCATGCGTTTTAAATTTTCATTATTTCCAAATGCTTTATTTGGGCAGCCTCAGATCAATGAAGAAGATGCTTTCAGATGCTCTCAACCTAACCCAAAAAAGCAACTTTTTGGAAAATGAGCTCCAAGGGAAACGGAAAGACCTAAAAGCCACGTTTTTCTAACAGCCTGTTAACTTTAAAAGATTTTTTCCTACTCCCCAATACAGTGAAAAATAACATTAGATTCCTTCAAGTTTTGCTGTCTAACAAAAATGAAAGAGTTATGAATTAGCCTGATTCAGTATGATCCAGAGATTTAAATGATGGTGATTTAGCAACTGACTACTACACATCTGGATGTACTAGATGAGAGATTTTATCTGTGATGTCGCAGACTATGAATGCTTAACAGCTTAGTACCTGGCACTGGTCACTGCTCTATTCCTAAATTCAGTTCTATCCTCGTAATCCACTTCGTAAGTTTTGAACCATTTCAATAATTGAGTTTCTACTGCAGCTCCTACATAACCAAAAAGAATAATAAAAAAAAAAAAGTTTGGTTAATTGCACAAGTCTTCAGATTTTTCAACCTATCTAGTTCAAGATAACTAATTCTAAGTTTTCCTCTTATTTTGGCAAACTATTTGCATATTAAGTTTGTGTTCATAGTTTTTCCAGGACTGTAAACAAATTAAAAAAATTAAATTGTTATTTTCTAAATCAATACAATAAAGGCAATTTTTATTTACATAAACATGTTACACCGTTACTGTGTGAATAAATGTGAATTATGTGCTATATCAATAAAATCAGAACACTTAATTGTAACCATTCTCTAGTAAATTTAGCTGTGGAGTTTGATTTACTGAAAGCCACTATTAAAATTGCACACTGTTTTTTTGTTTGTTTGTTTTTAATACTGTATATACCTTTTTCCTTACCCTAAAGCCATTCATAAATTGTTAATTTCTAAACAGGGACCTGGCACTAAAAAGTTTACTATTCTTTAGCAGAAGATATATTTAGCCCTAATACGAGCACCCAGAGGACATGCCCTTTTTGTCAGAATGTACGTTTACCACCGAGATCAAAATGTTCTGTACAATTTGAGTCCAAAGGTAGTAATCTGCAACACTAAGTGCTACAACATTATTCAGCATAGCAGCATATTATTACAGTCATCCATTGTTAATATACTACTGTAAGTCGACAAGTCTTTCACAGTGATAGAAAGTAATTTCAGTTTACTACTTTCTTATAAAGCCCAAATGTAAGTCTTGCAAATTAAAAATAATAAAAGAATTTTTGGAAATTGCAAGATAAAATTCGAGTGAAACTGTCTATGCCAGTAGCAGAAATTGCACTGCAAACATTCATTCATACGTAGTCTGGGTTTGACAAACTCATTCGTTTTTTGTTGTTTTTAAAATGATGTACCATATTTACTCAAATATAAGATGATCCCTCCTCCCAATAATTAGATTGTATTTATGGAAAATAGTTTCATAGTTGGTAGGGTCGGAAAGGACCTGAGCAGATCATCAAGTCCGACGCCCTGCCATGGCAGGAAAGAGTACTGGAGATCTACTGTCACTCAACTTATGGCCATTGTTCCTTGTTACTTCTGGTAGTGCTCGGGGGAACAGGGACTCTCCCATCACCTTCTGGTCCCCCTTGGGCAGTTTATAGACAGCCACCAGGTCCCCTATCAGCCTTCTCTTGTGGAGGCTGAACAGGTTCAGGTCCCATAGCCTCCCCTTGTAGGGCCTGCCCTGCTGCCCCCTGATCATGCGGGTGGCCCTCCTCTGGACCCTCTCCATGCTGTCCACATCCATCATGAAGTGTGGCGCCCAGACCTGGACGCAGTACTCCAACTGCAGCCTGACCAGTGTCGTGTAGAGGGGGAGGATCACCTCCTTGGACCTGCTTGAGATGCATCTGTGGATGCATGACAAGGTACAGTTGGCCTTCCTGACCGCGTCCCCACACTGTCGGCCCATGTTCATTTTGGCATCAATGATGACTCCAAGATCCTTTTCTGCCTCTGCACTGACTCCCAAGAGAAGAAGGGAGTTCCCCAGCCTGTAGGTCTGCTGCTGGTTCTTCCCCCCCAGGTGCAGCACCTTGCACTTGTCAGTGTTGAAACCCATCCTGTTCTCTTCGGCCCACCCCTGTAACCTGTCCAGGTCCAATTGCAGCCTATTCCTCCCTCTAGCATGTCCACTTCCTCCCACATCTTAGTGTCGTCTACGAATTTGAACAGGGTGCTTTTTACCCCCTCGTCCAAGTCGCTGATGAAGATGTTAAACAGTGCAGGCCTGAGGACTGAGCCCTGTGGAAAATGTATAAACGTGTTACAAATTTCCAGGCACAGAATCTAATTATTGGAGGTTTGCCTTGAATTTGTGCTAATTAGCCCCCTACTCATTACTGGAACTGGGTGTTCTTGTCAAAAATCTTGGGATCCTTAAAAAATGTATAGGCAGATGAGGCACAGGGCAACCTGGTTCAGCAAGGCAGGGCCAATGTAATCTGGCTGGGGTCATCTGAGCCCAGCGTTCTTTCCTACCCAGGGCAGGAGGTTGGAATCGATCTACCAAGGTCCCTTCCGACCCTAAAAATCTATGAAATCTATAATCATATAAGACAGGCTGAGAGGTGTGACAACAGAGGGTTTTAGGATTAACTGTTTGGGACCCCGCTTGGTGATGTTTGCTAGACATTTCAGGCTGGTAAGGAAACAGGAATCACTGCTAATGGGAAAGAAAAGCACAGCTCAGCTGTGGGAGCGAAGAGGAAGCAAAATGTATGCAATGCAGTGGCTCACCATGACTTGAAAGATAATGTCTTTAATAAGGTTTCTTTGTATGTGATATAAAATGAAGGGCCTCTTTCCCCATGCTGACTGAGAGAGGGAACTTAGTCTTGTGTTCAAGTAAATACGGTACTTTAAATGTACATAAATTATTTCTGTCTCGTTGTTTAGGCAGCACAAAAGCAGCTCTGCCACACACAACTCTATGAAAGTTGGAAGTTAATTCATATAATTTTTCCTCTCCATATCCCAATAGTTACTTTTGCCAGGATTTCCCTGAAGGTGCATGCATTGGCAGAAAGGGCAAAACTAGAGTGCATGCTAAATGGAAACAAAAAAAGCAGTTTCTATGACAGCATAAAAATCCACTCTTGACAATTTGCTTCCTCTATACAATCATATTTTTTAGTGCAGTCAAAGTTCAGCAAAAATAAATGTGCTTTGGAAAAAAGTCAGTTTGTCCAGTCTGGTCCATATATAGTTGCAAGTATATGAAGCTAAGTTCTGGGGAATGGAGAGACTTAAATGGCCTCCTTGTCCTCTTACTTTTATTGCTAATCGCTAAAAATTGATCAACCCCTGGTTAGGTTTACTGCACTGTGGCTAATATCATAGGACTCTTTTAAGTATGGTAAAAAAAAGTCCACAGCTAAAAATCTGATGGATCTGAATTAAAACCAGGATTATAGTTACTTGCCCTGGCTCATAAAGACACTAACTTGAGAAGTGTGCAAACACAATTAAGCATTAACACTTTCCTTTAAAGAAGAAACAAACAAGGCATAATAACAAAAGCAAGGTAGAACTGTCTATGAGAAATGGCTTTCATCTCTGAACAGTTACTGTACTGCAGTGTTAACGAATTCCAGACTTTCTTCACCTAAAAAGTTCTTCGGGATTTACACACCGTTTTGTAGAATGGTTCCGGAGCACTGGCTTAAATCAAAAAACAGGAGAAGGGTAAAGAAGGCATTAAAACTCAGGCAATGTTTCAAGAGTTGATCATCTGGCAACGCGGCTGACAGGATGGGAACGTTAAAAATTAAGTGCAGCATCGCAACTGGTGGAGGGCCACGAGTGAGAAGCCCAAGTATGTCAGTTAGTTTCCAAAAAAAAGCTTCACACAATCTTTTTAATGCTGTGACGTTTGAAACTGCCGGCACTTCGCTGCTTTTGCACTTGACTCGCAGACCCGTGGCGTGTCCTTCCGCTGTTGGAGTGTCCCGTGGTAGGCGAGAGTTCCACGTTCTCCTTGTCAATTCCTGCAGGGAAATAAAGGGGACAGGAGTCTCAGTCCCATTTATCTTGCGACTGAATGCTTAAGGGCAGTGTTTTCTGCAAATCACTTAGCACAAAGACATTTAAGTATCTTAAAAGGCAAGGGGGGGGGGAAAAAAAAAAAAGACATTCCTCCAGCTAAGGTAATACAGTTGCAGAAAAGAACGTAAATGGAAACAAGAATTATTGCAGGTAAAAGCTAGAAGCAGGCAGGCTAAGACCAAAGAGCATTTTCAATATAAACCTTACCATAATTTCCCAGCAGAGGTCGCCTTCCAATCGCCTACATTGCTCAGATCCCCTCCCAACAATATAAACGAACTAAATCAAGCTGGCTTGAGCCCATAAGAATTCATGCCCAACTCGTACGGGACGGTCTCAGATACGGGACACCACGAAGAGTCCACTACTCTGGCCTTTGTTTCATTTCTTAGCAGACTCCTTTCCTCTACTTCTCATTTTCTGCAGAAAAGGTTGTGG